TCTTTATCCTCTTTGCTCTTGTTTGTCTTTTATCTCTCCACTCCTTTTTTTCTTTCTCCACTATAATATATTTCCAATCTCTCAGTCATTTTTCTCCTCTATTCACTGTCTCATTAATATATATCCTCTCTACCTTTTATTTTTTTTCGTCTTTCCCCTCTGTTTTTGTTATTCCTCATTGTTTACTCTATTCTATTTTTCTTTATCAATAATGTTTTAAATCATTAAATGGTTATATATTGACTAAAATTAAAATTATTAAGTTATTAAAAGTTAACTAATGTTTAATATTAAAATTTTAATATTTATATATATTTAAAATCTAATTTTGCATATGAAGACAATTAAATTACTCTATTCAAGTCAATAATTTTAAATTTTAAATATTTAAATTAATTTATTCAAACAATATTTAATGAAAAATAAAAATTTAAAGTACTTCAAATTTTGAAAATTTTCGGTCAATCTAAAAGTCAAATTAATGATGAGTTAATTTTTTTCGTAATTGACCGTGTATTTTTATAACACTAATAATACATTGTTATTAAATTTTTATCTTTAGTTAAAATTTATAAAATCTATAAAATTATGGATGATAGCTAAATTAGAAGTTGAAAATTGACAGTATTTTTTTTTTAATAAATCTAATCTAATAATGAAGAGTTGTAATGAGTACTTTAAAAAGTTGATCAACATTTTTTTTACACAATTGAATTAACACGTCATGTAAATTACTAACTTAATTTTTAATTAAAAAAAATCCTTAATTTAATTAAAAACATTAAATTTGTTAATAATTTAAACAACTTTTCTAAATTACTATGAATTTCTCTTAAGTTAATATTTTATCTTTCTATTTAATAATTTTTTTACATAATTAATTAATATTTAGAAGAGAGATGTTGTATCTATTTATCTTTTACAATCCTAATATGAAAGAGAGAATTTTTATCCAATTAATTTTAAGCATTTATTATCTTGTGTTTAAAAAATTGCTAATTAAATATGTATTTAAAAAAAATATAATTAATGCACTTAACAATTAGAAGATGATCTTATAATAAAGGACAAGCAAAATGAAAAGGGTTAGACAAAGAAAATATCTTTTTATACAAATATTGAATTAATACATCAAAAATCTTTTTATTTCATTTGCGAGCTCATTCATTCTATCACAAGGTGGGCCAAAAGTGTAGGACATAAGAAATATTTGAGAAAATTTATTTAATTTTATAAAAATAATATATAAAAGTAATTTACTTTTATATTTATGTACTTTATGAAAATATATTCATTTTTAACGTATTTTAATAAATTGAATGGTTACATTCATGACAAACTTAATATAAGAAGTGTTTATTGAATAAATGCTGATTTAAGTTGTTTAACATCAATAGTTATATCACTTTAGTAATGATTTTGACGAGCTAAGAAATCCTATCAACTTGAGGAAGCTCTTTGTCAAACTCGTGATAGATTATTTTTCTTGTTGTAAATGAAAATGCAAATTCACAATGTGTGCTTTTGAAGGAAGCTAAGATATGTTGGTAGTAATAGCTATGAATTTCTTCTTTTTACTAATAAGTAATAAGTAAAGCCTTTTGTAAAATGTGACCTGAATATGTAAACTTTTGATAAACAATCTTATTTGACTTGTAACAAAATTTAAAATTATGAGCATATTTAGATATAAATTTAAAAATGTTTTTAGAAACTTCTCTATTGAAATATATTTTTAGTTTCTAGTAGAAAAACTAAAAAAAAAAAACTCTTCAATTGATTTTGATTAACATGGCATATTTTGCACTTTATTTATTGAGAGAGGAGGTAGGTGCATTTTAGTAAAATAAAATCAGTGTTTGTTTTTTGGGTAAAAAAGTGAAAGCCCATTGAAAGGCGTGAAACGGAAAGGCCCGGCCCATGATCTGAGTGTCGGAGACATGACAATTGACAACGCAAATGGCTCTCTGCATTGCTGTGTGTGTCCTCTCTCCCTCTGACTGTGGTGGAATGGAACTGAAAAGGGAGGGAAATCAAACAAAACCCTAAAAATGGAAAAGAAAACTTTGTGACCCACTTTCACTTCATTACATGACATTCCATTTTCCTTCTTAAAAAACTTTTCTTCTTTTGAACCCCCAAAGTTGCTGTTTCTATGGCGAGGCTGCTTCGTAACACTTCCCTTCTCACACGCTCCTTATTCCTTCCTCAGGTTCGTCCACGTTTATCCACACTGATCACTTAATTATGATCATATTTATTTTTTCACCAAAGGGCATGTTACAGTTCCCCTGCCATACCCTGTTCTCTCTTTTGTTCTGTTTTATGCATTATTCTTGTTTGATGGATTCTAATGCACTTCTCTGTCACATTTTGGTTTTGTTATTTATCAACTTTTAAAGTTACACTCGTGTTTCTGGGGAATATTTGTCCTCTAATAAAAGAGAGGGAAAAAGAAAAAGCAATGGTCATTTTGTCGGTCATTGTCATGGATACGCATATAACCATTTCCCTCACTTTTTGCATCTTCCATGTTAGCTTTTGATATTGATGCATCATCAGTTCTTGCTTTCATTTCAGGGTTTTAAACTAGGAATATTTAGCTCTTCTCAGATTTTGAGCTTTTCAACTAAAGGTTTGTTGAACTTCTCTTGCTTTGTTCACTTCCCTTTTTCTGAAGCCAAAAGTTAATAATTTAGAGGAATTATTGTGTTGAAAGGTTATAGACAGCAATAAACATGCTAAAGAGATTGTCATATGCTTTTGAAAATTTTGAAATATTAGATCATTAGATGTCATTTATATCGGAAAGAAATTATAATAATCATGATCAAGGGTTTGGCTTGGATAGTCCAGTTAAGCTCATGGTACTTTTGGTGAGTTCTTACAGTGAAGGTGGATAAGGGAATATTTTAGGCTCTTTATAATTTGGACATCTGAGTTGTTGATTTATTCATGTGTTGAAACAAACCAGAACGAAAATTTAAACCTGTTTGTTGCATGATTTATGTGTATTTTGAATTATAATAAGCACAGATGAATTATGACTTGGGAGTATCTGCCACTATAGGATATGGATGAGTAACTGGGGTTTGAGGAGGGTTGCATGAGAAGTAGCAGGACAGGATGGAAAAATTAACATAGGACAGCTGTGTAACCTTGTGGCCTTGTAGCAGGATGGCAAGGGAATCAGGGGGGGGGATTGGTTAGATGGCTTATCAATAGATGGTTGAGTAGAATAAGGAGGAATTACAAAGACGGAGAGCCAAGGAGGAAAGACGCAAGTCTGAGAAGAGTGGGAAAGAACTAGGACTCGTGAATGCCATGAGTGTTTGTATTTTCTTGTTCAAAGAGAGCTCATATCAGTTTCTGTATGTGTGTAATCTCTGCTATTGATGTCATACTGATATCAGTAGCAGATTTATAGTAATTAGTGCAATGTTTCAGATCATTCTCCCTAGTTTCCTATCATCTCTGATGTTTTCTTGAAGTTTGAACTGATTTGAACTTGACAACATTTTTTATTTCTACATACCTAAAGGTAGAAGGCGCTCTAAATCTGATGGAAGTGACTCAGGGGAAGAGAACATGCCTAAAAAAGAGTTAGCTCTTCAACAAGCTCTTGATCAGATCACTTCTGCATTTGGAAAGGGATCTATCATGTGGCTTGGTCGCTCTGTCTCACCAAAAAATGTACCTGTTGTGTCTACTGGTTCTTTTGCTCTTGATATGGCACTGGGAGTTGGTGGACTTCCGAAGGTATCCTTAGATCCTTGCATGAAGTGGTTTCTTGCTCATTTGTTACATGTGAATAAACTCAGAACTTTTTTTAATACATCTAATGGTCAATGGTTACAGTTTTCTATTTCCCCCAATTTGTGTCCATAGGGACGTGTTGTGGAAATATATGGTCCAGAGGCTTCTGGAAAAACAACTCTTGCTTTACATGTGATTGCAGAGGCACAGAAGCAAGGAGGTTATCTTCATACATTACCTTTACAATGATAATTGTAATGTCTAATGCTTTTGGTTGGATTGGGTTTAGGATTCTAACTTCTGTAGATGATGCTACGATCTTGTCATAATTATACAGTCTAACAGATGATTTAATCTTCCCTTGTTCCTTCTCTTTATGTTTTGTAGTGGTATTACTGCAATTTTTTTTCTTATGATTTCTTAATGAATGTTTAACTCAGTTTCTTAGAATACCCTTTGTCTAATATTTTTTGGAAGTGGCAAATTGGAGGTTTGATTCTGTACATGGTTTTTTCATTGTCTAGAAACCCTGCTTCAGTACCGTGTGAACAACTTTTAGGTTCTAGGCTGCTAGAGCTATCAGTTTCCCAGTTGTAATATAAAATGGTTTGTCATTGTCTAAATTTGGTGCCCGCAGTTTCCCAGTTTCAGATATGTTCTTTCAATAGTTTAACTTTAATCATAATAAATTAATAATGAAGATGAGAGGCCTTTATATATTTAGTTCAATGATTTACTTGTAAAGAATTTTGCAGTTGGTTTATGCAGACATTGATATGATTATTTGATACAGGTTATTGTGTCTTTGTTGATGCCGAGCATGCCCTTGATAAGACACTTGCAGAGTCTATTGGTGTGAATACTACGAACTTGCTTCTCTCTCAACCTGATTGTGGTGAACAAGCACTTAGTCTTGTGGACACCTTAATCCGTAGTGGTTCAGTTGATGTAATTGTTGTTGACAGTGTAAGTATGAAGCTCTTTTTCTTTTATTTCTGTCAATACTTTCCCTGTATTCATTGTAGCTTTTTAATGATTATATAGTAAGTGATAACTCAACTGATATATAGGATTTGATAAACCAGTGTATCAAGTGGCATATTAACAAAAGAAGAAAAAAAAGTGTATCAAGTGGCATACTTCCACCATCTAATACCTCATTGTAGGAAAGTGGTTTAGCCAATCACCCTTGAATTAGACGTAGTTATTGTATACTACTCATCCTATAAAAGTTGTTCATTGGTTTCCTGCATCTATAACAATATATAAAGGAGATATTCCTTTTTGGTGTCCACTTTTCAAAGACAATTATATCTAAGGATAAATAGGAAAGGAATGCATATAAAAAATAATAACTACTTTTTAAAAAATAGTAACTACCAACTTATTTAAAAAAAATATTTAATTTTTTTTCACGGAGACATGAAGTGCCCTTTATGATTGATTATAATATAAGTTCCGGGGAGGATGAGATATGTGATGTGCAAACTGGAAAATTGTTCTGGAATGGAGGCATTTTTCAGCGGACTTGGTCAAATTTTTGAAGCTCGTAAATGAAATTATTATTTATATATATATATATATATATATATATATTGTTTCATTTTGTTCTCTTAAACCCTGTTTTATAGACTTGTTGAGTTTGATTTGACAATGGCAATAATGAGTAAAATTTTAGTGTTGTTTGAACTTTCCCAGTACTTCCCCCTTTTGTTTTTTTGATTTTTACTTCTACAAACCTTATTCCATCACCATGTCAATCAAATCTCGTTTCATTAGTTTAAATGCAAATGTACTAACTTTTTGCAGTCTTTTTGTGATAGGTGGCTGCTCTTGTTCCTAAAGGTGAGCTTGATGGTGAAATGGGCGATGCTCACATGGCAATGCAGGCTAGGTTGATGAGTCAGGCACTTCGGAAATTGAGCCATGCCTTATCACTTTCTCAAAGTATATTAATTTTTATAAATCAGGTATCAGCTAAAGTTGTTAACAGCTATTCAGTTAATTTTACTTTGGTCAGATTATGAATACCATTAGATTTGAACCTGAGCAATTTAGTGTGTACAGGAAACTTTTGTTGTGTTACTCTGTCTTGTACTAATTTGATCTATGGCCTATGACTATATTCTCTTGACTTTTGCTGGGCAAAGTTCCAATATCATAAATTGTTTATGAAACTCTTCTCCCTCATTGACTTTGTTCTGCTGCTTTCCTCTGCTTAAAGTAATTGTTTATATTCAATTCATCATCTTTCTTTTTTATGAATGTAAAGCTGCTTGCAAAATCTAGGGCCTAACTTTATGCAAAACTTAAATACCAAAAGCTATTAATTGCTAGAACTTCATCAGTCTATTTTTTCTTTTAGATTACAAAAACTTATAAATATTAAGGAACATTGTTAGGGTTCATTGCTGGGATAAATATCAGAGTCATAAGCTTTAAGCTGAGAAGATGAATGGAATGTGTGTTGATGTACTTTTGCTGTCCAAATTATCTGTGTTGATTGAAAATAGTAATTATGTACTGGCCATGCATTGGTCAGTTGTGTACCAATGAACCTATTTGTGGACTAATGGGTGAGTGGAGCTTGCTCTACCAGGCCTAGATTTGATGATTTGTTTTTCATATAGTTGTTCGATCCCAAGGAATGTTAAAAGGACTTGGATGGTATTATCTTATACTGTTTGTATATTCTTTAAGAATATATTATCTTTTGTGTATATATCTATATATCTATATTCTTTTGGGTGGAAGTACTTTTGTTCAAATTACCATAGGGACGTGTTTGTCTTATAGTACTTGAATTCTTTTGTATATTTCTCCAGGTGAGGTCAAAGATTTCAACTTTCGGGGGATTTAGTGGGCCTACAGAAGTTACATGTGGTGGTAATGCATTAAAATTCTATGCTTCTGTGCGGCTAAATATCAGGAGAATAGGGTTTGTCAAGAAGGGTGAAGAGGTAATCATATTTTTTTTTCTGCTATGCTTCCTGCTTGAGTATTGGCATGCCTGTTTAAATGTTTGTTAAGAAAAAAGCAAATCTGCATAGTTTGATGGAATCAAAGATGAACTTTTTGGAAGTAGGCTTTCTTTTTTAATCTATGTTCCAAGTTGCTTCATCTTGTTGATATGCTTTGGATACGAGTGGTGAGGAAGCTTTTGAACTCAGTGATATTCTTTAGGTAGCTAAATGAATAAGTAAGAACTAGAATCTCTAATAAACTTAATTGCAATCTTGATAATTGACTAGCCTGTTCTGATCCATGCATTATAAAACAGAAGAATAAACTTAACTGAAGTTGCTTGTTTGTTTATTGTTCAAATTCTTTAATCTTTATAATCTATGTATTCCATATCCTGCAGTAAAGTAGCTGTTGGTGTTTAGTATGGAGCATTAACTGTAAAAAGAGAAAACATATTAGCACTGTTCATTTGAGATTATATTGTGAATTTTGGGGGATGGCCTTTGTCATCAATCCAGTTCTTTTGGCAAAACTGGTTGCTTGACACATACTAGTTTGGTCGTGCAAGAAATTGTCCAATGTAAAATATCAAATGTATCGAGTATCTTTTTAATACTTTAACTATCCATGCAGTCCCTACCATTGGATTGTAGATATCTGTTAGTAGTTGAGTAAATCATTTTTCTTAGTTGTTCATTGGATTATTGATCTAACGATATCCATATAGAAATTAGAACTTTTCACTCTGCATGTTGGATAACTTTTTTTTTCTTCTCATGTTATCTGTTTGTGCAATATTTTGGGGATCTTAATATTGCATTGAATTTCGTAGGTCTAATTTGTATGAATATTCATCATTTATGGTGTTTTAATTATACAGGTTTTAGGAAGCCAGATTCTTGTCAAGGTTGTGAAGAACAAGCTTGCCCCCCCATTTAAAACTGCTGAATTTGAACTTCAATTTGGCAAGGGTATATGTAAAGAAACAGAGATTATAGATTTGAGCGTAAAACACAAACTCATCTTAAAGGCTGGTGCAATGTATTACTATAACGAGCAGAGTTTCCGCGGTAAGGAAGCCTTCAAGAGCTTCCTAGCTGATAATATTAGAGCATTAGAAGATCTTGAAATGAAGCTCAGGGAGAAGCTTCTTAACGCTGAGACAGAAAAGACACAAGAGTCAAATGTAATTAATGGAGATGGAGGTGTTATAGAAGAAATTTCAACAGTTGATTCCACCGACGAAGAAGCCTCAGTTGTTGTAGAAGCATGATTTTGTGATTGAACATAAAGTATGGCTCACTATTTTCCCTGCCTCATTCCGGACCCTGTGAACTGTGATGCATATATGCTGTAACTGGATCAATTAATGGACCCTTAAATGGTTCAGTCAAATGAAGATCATAAGAAGCGATACATGGCCCAATGCTTCAAGTTTGGAATCCCATTCTTGCTTGAATTCAAATTAAGTTATTGTACTCTACCTGTAAATTGAAATTTTCGGTCATTTTATATACGCCTAGCCGTATGGCACATGTTAGATGAGAATGAAATGGATTAAGCGCATAGGAAGCAAGGTCTTTTACTCCGGATTTGAGTCAGTTTCATACCAATTATTTGTGAGGATTTTGCCATGCAATTTGCGCAATGATGCATATGTTTCTCGGTGGTGTTTCTTCATTTTTTTTCCTCACTTTTTACCTACGTCCATTGTTACTTGGGAACAGAATTTCATACTGGGCTACTGATATGAACTGGGTTAGATTTTATTTGTGATTCGAGTGATCGTACATGGATACTAAATATCAGTTTTTTTTATAAAAGAAACTGATATCATAAAAAAAAATGTAATTACTTTTCAGTATTCCCCCCTTATATGCAGGCATTTAACCTTTGAAAAGTCTAATTTGATTGCGAGGACAAGTCTTATTTATTTGTTGTTTGAACTTCTCTAATAATGTGAACAAAATATTACGGTAAATGTCACTTACCAATGACCATCATGTTGGAAAAATGTACCAAATTAATATAATTCTTCTTGTCAATCAACGTGTTTGTGTTAGGTTAGAAGATAATCTTATATCTCCTTGATCTTAAGTTTTATTGTTAATAAATATAAAGGTTTTTAATCAATAGTATAAAGTTTTCAAAATAATTAGGATAAATCTTTTATTAAGATTTAATGCGTTAGTAAGACGATTCATTGTATAAGAATATATATACATTAAGACGATTTTATTATAAAAAAGATATATGTATTAAATATTTATCATTTATGATCTCAAATAAAAAAGAGACTATTTCTAAATGTTTCTTTAATAGATCAAATTTAAAAATACTTCTTCAATACCAATTCTACAAAAAGGAAATAAATACATTATTTAAGTCAGAAAAGGACAAGCAAATATTTGCAAATAAAAAAAATTGCAGTTAAAAGTTATTTCATCATTGTAACATTCGAATACACGCATGGTTTTACTTACTTGATGTCAAAAGGTGACAAATAGCTTTTTTGATTAAATAAGAAATGATAATTTGGTGAAAATATTTAATGAAAACATTTATTGTACTAATAGACACTTCTCCCCTCAAGAAACAAATCACAAAGACACACGAAGTAAGTCATGAGAGGGAAATTCAAAAATTTGCAATGGTCATTTTCATTGAAACCTTATAAAAAGAAGCTTGAAGTTCAAAAAGAAAGATGATAATAGAGATTGATCATTGAAAAAATTACATTCTTTTTTTTGGAAAAGATATCTGGATGTAATTTGTTGTACTAGGTCTTGATAGGAAGATAAAACAACCTTGTAAACTTTTGTAAATTTAAGTTATTGGATTTGAGTCTAAAGAGACTTATTTTTAAAAGAATTCTTGTTGTTTGAACTTGGAGAGACTTAAGTATAAAAAAATATTTGGTGTTGAAGTTTGAAGAGACTCTGTGCAAAAAAAATACTTGGATGAGTTTTTTGAAAAGACAATTTAAATAATACTTAAGATTAAGTCATAAATGGATTGGTAAAAAAATACTTGTATCTTGATAAGATAATGAAAATTGATCTGGTTAGATAAAAAACTAAACCTAGTCTCAGTTGTTGGAATGAATCAATATAAATTCCTGAGTTCATTCTTTACTTTATTTGTTCTCTCATATTTGTTACGATTACTACTTTATTACATCGCGAAAAGTGAGAATTTTATAATAACACTATTTAACTTCCTTTTAGTGTTTTTTTTTTTTTTTTTCACAATCTATGTTTCTCAATGAATAATAAATTTTAACTCTTTGCGATTGTTAGTAAATAAACTTAAAGATGTTTAAGGATTGGATTAGTTGAAATTCAAACATTCAACTCGCGCACGCTTGCATCGGTCTAATCTATGCTTTCCTAATCTTTTGGAATGATGTGTACTTCCAAGTTCCAAAAAGTTCACATCGTGTCTGCTTCTATCAATTTTGGGAGGTCGCTTAGCAAATAAAAACTTTCGAAGCACCTTTTTTTAGTCCAATCCCATGTATTTCATTGACCACCCTATTTAAGAAGCATAACAAAAACTTTGTATTTGTACACTCTTTGTTATATATATCATAAATGTCTTATAGAAAGTTTCTATCATCCTAATGATAACGAGTATTATAAATATCAAGTTTCAAGTCTCTTGCAATAAAAAACAAATTTAATAATTATAACTTTTGTTATATACACTCTTTGTTTTTTTACAAATCATATCTCCTTTTATTCTTAATATATAAATTTATACTTTAATACCTTTTTCTTTATTTATTTTTTTGTTCCAATACTTGTCATTTTGTTGAGTCCTTTGTTATACATTTGCATTCTTTAGTTCCTCTCTCACCGACTTTCTTTCTTTTCTTCCAATGATGTTATTATTATTATTATTATTATTTTGTATGTTGTTTATGTCCACATACAAATAATTTTTTTTTATAAAATATTACTTTGTGGAACAACGTATACCAATTTCAGAAAGTAATTTCGGATAACTTTTGAATCGAACATAAGTTCATAATTTTGTTCCATACATATTATATATCCTTACCTTTAGCTGTCGTATTTCTAAAATGAAAAAACTTTTCTAATTTTTTTTTATCCATTTTGAATGCCAACCAGTTCATTTTATACTTTAATAAAAAATTATATGCACAACTTGGGCGTAACGTAAGTGTTTGTGTAGATTCAACATATATGAAATGCAGCACTTCACAAATGTAAAAACTATTATCATGTTTACGTAAAATCAAGGATCCTAGTCAAAACAATAAATATGGACATTTATATATAAATATTATAAAATAAAAATATTTATAAAATAAAAATATATATAATTTAATTAAAATTAAATATATCATTTAGTCCTTACATATTTTTT